AGGTTTGATACCAAATAATTCTTCTGGATTATTATATCGACTTGCTGCACCTTTTGCTTCCCGGATTGAACATGACGGATCAATTATATGTTGTACCGGACTACGACAATGATGATTTTGTAAAAGTGCTGATAATGGACGACCAGCAAAAAATGTTTTTGAATAAGTTGACGATTCAAATGTTAAATTCGAATGTTGAGGTCTAGAAGTAAATGAAGCTGATTTCGGACGATTGTTTGATGCTGATTTTTTTCTTGATTTTTTATGTGGTGATGGAGATTTTCGAGAATTCGTATCATCGATATTATTAGATATTTTATTACGAGTAGGAAAAAGTGTTTTAGAACGTTGTAAATTTGTTTTTCTTTGTGAAGAATCAAATGAAGGTGGAGTCGTAGTTTCACAACGATTGATAACGAAATCTGAATTATGTTGATGTTTAACCGGTGTATGTGCTCTAGATTTATTTCTATCATACGATGAATGTCTAGGATCTTTAATTGATACATGATGTTGTATGGATACAGGTATTCGTGGTGGTAGTCCATTTGTATTTTCTTTTTTATCTAGAGATATTTTATGTTCGTCTCGAGTTTTTACTGTTTGTAATTCTGTAAGAAATGTTTCTGCGCTGGGTTTTTGTGAATGATTATTAACTGTTGATTTAACTTGATTAACATTATTAATTATTGAGGATATGTCTGGATTTTTATGTTTAATATTTCGATTATATTGTTGTCCTTCATCGCATAATTTAGCTAAATGTGTGAAATATTTCTTATCGCTTTCATTAAAAAGTATTTTAAATAAACCAAAAGAAAGTGTTGATGGACGACTATCTTTTTTATTTGTCGATGAATTTTGTGATATTTTACTTTTTGGTTTTGATGCTGTAGTTAGATTATGATTAATGTCAGTCATAGGTGGAGTTTCATAGACTGAAAGTGGACGAGGTACAACAAAAAATTCATCCCAATCACGATGAATAATTTGATTAGCACATTCAATATGTCCATAACGAAGTGCAAGAACCGCTGCCGAACATCCTAAATAAGAATTTATAAATACAAAAAATTCAAATAAAAAATACTATATCTACCTTCACGATTAACACATTGATCAAGATGTGCACCCATTTTATCTGCTATTCTTATCAATAATTCAGCTGCTTCACAATTTCCTTATATAATATTAAAAAAAATATATAATTATTCATTAATAAAACGAAAATTAAATAACACTTTGTTTTGTTCAATTACCAGTTATAGCTGCATAGTGTAAATAAGTATTTCCATCGCAATCCTTTGATCCTATATCAAATTCCATACATGATAAATAGAGTTTAACAAGATGTATACGTTGTAGAGCACAAGCATGATGCATACTAAGAAAATCAAAATTCTCAATATATAATCTATCAAACAAAATCTATCTTACGCATTTCGCCTTGCATGATCTGTTAAGGCAATTTTCGCACCTTTTTCAAGTAAATTTTGAGCAAGTGATAAACTCCATCTATCATTTTCTATATACGAACATAAAATTAATGGTGTATGCAATTGATTATCACGTTCATTTGGATCATGTGAAAGTTCTAATAAATATCGAATACAACGAAAATATCCATGTTGAATAGCGAAAGGAATATTAAAATTTTTTGGTATTGATGTTGATGGAATTATTGATGATGTATTTGTATGAAAACTACGTTCACTATTACTATCAAAACGAGATATCGATGATGGTGGCACCGGTGGAGTTCGAGATGAGATAAACATAATAAAAAAAACTGTAATAGAATTGACTAATAATATAAATAGTTATGGTAACTTGGCAGCATTTAAAAGTCACTTAAGAGAAGAAAAAAAAACGAGATTGAACGACATTCGATGCATTTAGCAATGACTGTTGTATAAATTGAAATGAAACGACAACAAATTTCTTCTTTACTCTCACTTCAGTTTACTTTTAAAAAGAAGAAAAAAGAAAGAAAAAGATTGAATGTACATCTTAAACAAAAGAGCAACTATGTATATATTGAAAGTAAAAAAGAACAAAAAAAAACTGAATGAGTTGTTTTTGTCTTAAAGCATGTATATAGATAAATATACTTTTCAATATTTGAACAAAATGTAATTGTAGGACAAGTTAATCTATAATATTAACTTCATTTTTTTAACTTTGACGACAATTACTTCTTAATTATTTTCTTTTATTCTGATATGAATAATTGAAAAGATATATCATTTATTGAATATATACTAATTTTAATAAACAATATATGATCTTTTTTTTTCTTCAATATATATGTAAATAAAATAAAAAGCATAAATTTGCTTCTATGGCATCGAAATACATACACACATCCGAATGAATCATTTTTTAGTTTCTTATAGAAACAAAGACAGAAAAAAAATTTGTTTTATGATAATAATGTAACAAAAGAAAATAAAACTTAAATATATGTAAATAAAAAAATAATGTTGTATATTTGGTCATGAATGTACATTAATTTTACATTTAGAAAGTCTAGCAAAACGATAATTTATTATCGAAAGTAGATTGTATTATTTTAAATTTCTATTTATTACATCAAATGTTCTTTTCGAAACAAAGAATAACAAAAAATGACCTTTACAAACGATATTGTGACACTAATCATTGTTGCCAATAGATTTTCTATTACAAAATGACGTTTTTTCGTAGAGGATAAATACTTAAATGATAAATGGGTCATCTTCTCTATTGTCAATTTGAAAATGTACATTTTTTTATATTCTTGTTATACATAGATTTAATAGTTTAAATAAAAAATCTATTTGTTAGAAGTGTACTCGAACATGTAAAGTAGCGTATTTGTTAAGAATGAAGGAGAGGACGTCTATGTAAAAGTAATTTACAATTAAAAAATAAATAATACTAATATCTCAACGAATCATATATAAGTCTTAGAAAATAACAGGCATTTTCTCATATGATTAGATGAAGATTTATCTGTTTATATCAATTATATACGTAATGAAAAGGCATGTTATGAAGAAACGATTGAATATCTCTCCTGCCACTCAAGGAAATAATCTGAGATTTTTATCGATGATAAAAACATGTTCACACTCTATATTTATAATGACTATCGTCATTAACTTGTGAGTTACCAGTAATACTAAACAACCATATAAATAAGTTTAATTGATCAAGCATATATATACTTCTAATTATAACTTTATTGTTATGGTTTAATATTGATAATAGATCAGCTCATTTGTTTGAATTATAATAAAGATATTAGATTAGTTATATATTTTTTTTCAGATTACTTTAAATTATATATAGAAAACTTTCTTAAACAATAAATTATTATATATGTGTGTTTCTGCTGTTTGATTTTTTTATTTTTGATGACTAGATAAACGACAAAAAAAAGAAGAGAAGTAAAAAGAGATTTATATAGTTAACACGCAAATAAAATCTACTATAAGTCACACATACATATAAAGAGCAAGTAAAAAAGAAAAGAATTTATTTCATAGTCATAAAGTTAAAAGAGCAAAATAAAAGAGAAAAATAGAGAAAGTGTAAGATAACATGAATATACCCAAATAACACACAAATGGAAACAATTGTCAGTTGATGTTTTTTTAAAGTTTCTTTACTTGGGCAAAAAATGCTGATGGTCCATTTGCTGTTTGTTTAAATAAATTTGCATGACATACGGCACATCGACTAACATAATTTCGTTGTGTACCAGCTTTTAATGTACGTACTTTTGGTTTTTCAAAACCAGTATAATCATCTAATGTTGCTAAGTAAAATGTCATCATATTTGGATAATAATTGCAATGTGATTGATCTTTGCAATGAAAATATGGTCGATCATGATATTTTTCAAGACATGAACCGGGTGATTGTAAACTTTGTTGATCACCACGACCACCATCAGCTGATGTAAATATAAAACTATAACCAGTCCATAAAAGATCATATCCATCAGGACATGTTGGAACACGTTGAGATTGACTATGTACTGCAAATACAGGTGTTGGTGATTCACAAACAACACAACGACTTAGATGTTTTGGTATATCCTTTGATTCAAATGGTGCCATACTAGCTGACATTGGTTCATTGGTTGATAACCAATATGAATAATCATTACGTGATGCATAATGACATACATTACCGATATCACAAAATAAGAATGGCATAGCACTGAAACGACGTAAACAACTACCCGATGAACCTAATTAAATAATAAAAGAAGAAACAGAATGATAAGTTTCAAAAATTATAGAAAGAATTTTTTACCAAGATCTTGATGAGCAGCATATGTATCACCTTGCATACCCATAAATGAATAACCACCATCTTGTAATTTTTGTGTTTGATGTGGACATTGTGGAGTTGTACTATCTTGACTGTGTCTATAATAAATACGAACGTTTAATAATAGATTTCATTTTTATGATTATATACCGTGTGAATATAAATGAACCTTCACCAGCTTCACCTTGAGGTCCTCGAGGTCCAGCAATACCTATTTAATAGGAAAAAAAATCAATAGATTAAAATTATTATAGTTAATTGATAATATACCTGGTGGACCGGGTTGACCATGTAAACCGGGTCTAAATAATATAATATGACAATCAGTTAGATTAATATATATATGTTCTAACTTACGCTCCATTAAGACCCATATCACCAACTGGACCACGACCACCTAATGAACCTGGATTGCCTATAATAATAATAGAAAAAGAAATAAATAGATATTTGTTTTTCTTTCAAATAAATATGTACCTGGACGACCAGCAAGACCAACTTGACCAGGATAACCTTTTTGTCCAAATGAACCTGGTTGACCTGGTAATCCTGAGACACCTAAAACAAATTAAATAGAAATATTTAGAATTTTTTGTTGTATAGATTTCTTATTTTATTACCAGAGAATCCTTGAGCACCACGTTCACCTTTAGGAGCTGCTTCTTGTCGCATCTAAAGAACATAAAATACTTTATAAAGAGAATTCTTATAATAAATTATCTTCTTACTATTCCATAAGTGGCTTCTCCCTTTTGACCTGCTAAACCGGGGAGACCAGGTTGACCTGCTGAACCTAGAATTACAATTGTATTTAATAATATAATCTATAGAGAAATAATAATAAAACTAACCAGCATCACCATTTTCTCCTTTACGTCCAGCCATTCCAGGTAATCCTTAACAAAAAAGTATGATAGTCAAGATGAACGGCTCTTGAATAAAATATCAAATTTACCTGATGTGCCTGAATCACCTCGTCGGCCTGGAAGACCTGGATTACCTGAAGGTCCTGGTAGACCCTAAAAATAAAATCATGAATTATAATATAACAAAATATAATATTTATTTACTGGTAATCCTTTTGAGCCTGGAAGACCTGGGTTACCAGGAAGACCATTCATTCCAATAAGACCTGGTGCGCCTAAAATATTAAATACGTATTATATATCAACCAAAATATAATGAACTCTACCTGGTTGACTAGATAAACCTGGTTTACCATCTCGTCCAGGATATCCAGCTGGACCTGGTCGACCGGATAAACCATTTTGACCACGATCTCCAGTTTGACCTCTTAGACCAACTGCTCCAACACCTGAAAATAAAAAAAATATTTCATAGATAACGCATTAATACAGATAGATAAAAGTATCATACCATCAGAGCCTGGTGGACCTTGTGGACCATTGTCACCAGGTTGACCTCTGAAAATAAGAAAGACAAATACTTACTCTAATATATTATTTTATAGTAGAAATATCTTACCGAGCACCTGGTTGACCTGGCATACCATTACGACCATTTTCACCACGTTGACCAGGTGTATTACGATCAGCTAAAATACAAATAAGATATCACATTGATTTAATTAATTCTGATTGAAATTATAAGTTATGATACATACCACTATCACCGGGGATACCTTTGACACCAGGACGTCCAGGTAAGCCAGCATTTCCTTTAAATCCTTGCATACCAGGGAAGCCTAAAACGACAAATATAATATCATAGATTTACTATATGAAATAGAAAATTACCTGGTCGGCCTGTCTTTCCTGGAATACCCGATAAACCTCGTTCTCCACGTAAACCAGGATATCCATCTCGTCCTATAGAAATAGAATTCATTTCATATATGATATATCATTCATAAATCATTCAGTTAAATTACCTGGTGCTCCCGGTGGACCAGATGGGCCTGGGAAGCCCTGAAGTAATATAATAAACATAAAATAATACTTCTTTTATTCATCATAAACTTACCGGAACACCTAGAATAGAAAAATTATAGATACAGAAAGAATATAAATATATATTACATACCAGCATCACCCATTGCTCCAGGAAGACCTGGCATACCTGATGCACCAGCGTCACCTGCTTCTCCTTTTCGTCCTAAAAAATACAATTTTAAATAAATTTAGAATAAGTATATATATATTTATTATAATTACCTGTTTCAGTAGCTTGTCCATCACGACCACGGTCTCCCATCATACCCTTCATACCGGGAAGACCAGGTAAACCAGCACGACCAGGAAAGCCCTAAAAATAAAAACGTCTACCAAGGATAACTATATTAACAAAACTTTACTCGATCACCAGGTTGTCCAGAAGCACCTGGAAGACCTATATGAAACAAGAAAAAAAACATCAATAATAATTACTTTTCAGTCAACCCAATATACAGACCACTTTGTCCTGATTGTCCTTTCGAGCCTGGTAAACCAGGTGCGCCATTTAAACCGGGTAGACCTATACATAAAGAAATAATTCTATACAATATTTTTTTCAATTTATGAATATACCTGGAAATCCAACAAGACCAGGTGATCCTCGTAATCCACTAGGACCAGGTAGGCCAGGCTAAAAACATATATAATTTAATTTTTTTTCTCATACACAAATATATATATATATATTTATTTACCATGCCTCGAAGACCTGGAAGGCCAGGAAGACCGGGAAGACCAGGGAAACCACGTTCACCTCGAATACCTACGATAAATATGAAAAACATAATGTTGTTTTTCTTAAATTTATTATATACTCATACCATTAATGCCTTTGAACCAATCACCCATTTCACCTTTTGCACCTGGTAAACCGGGACGTCCTATAAGTAGAAAAACATTTTAGAATACAAAATTATTTGCTAGCTGAATAATTTACCATCACGACCTGGAAGACCTGGGCCACCTGGAAGACCTGCGGATCTAAAAACATAAGAAAATAAATTTTATTTATCATTAACTATTTTTTCACTTACCCAGCTTCGCCTCGTGGTCCAAAACTACCAGCTGTAATAGAAAAATATATATTTATGTTTCAACTAATTCTATCATATATTTTCTATATACATACCGTCACCAGAATCACCTGGAAGACCTCGAGCACCTGGAAGACCTGGTAAACCGGCTTCACCTACAACAACATAAAATTCTTCTTCGTATCTATTTTATTCATATCAATACATACCCATTTCTCCTTTTGGACCAAATCCACCATTGCCGCCACCGATACCTGGTTCTCCGACATCACCTATTCAATAATAAATATATAATCCAATTAAAAAACAAAAGAAACTTTACCTTGATAACCTTTAACTCCTTGTAAACCTGGCATACCATTCATACCAGCTGAACCAGGTAAACCACCTAGATTCAATTATATAATGTATACTATGTAAAAAAAATAGCAAAAGGTATTTTGACTTACGTTCACCGGGTACACCAGGATGACCTTTCATTCCAGATAAACCTGGGTATCCAGGTTGACCATTATCACCACCTATTTTCAAAGAAAAAAAAAGATTTAATAAGAGATTTAATTGAAAAGTATGAATACATACGTTCTCCTAATTTGCCTGGAAAGCCTGGTAATCCACTTTGACCAGGACGACCCTATGTATTAAGATATAAATAAAATACAATTCATTTACATTATAACGATATACCATATCACCAGGGAAACCACGTAAACCAGGTGCACCCGGAGTACCTGCACCTCCAGCTCGGCCAGGGGCTAAATAAGGAAGAAAAATAAGTATATTAATAATAATTCTATTAAAATTATATACCTCCTGGTCGACCACGTAAACCTGAGGCACCAGTATCACCTAAGTAACCAGGTCCTGCACCACCTACAATATATAATCATGTATTTATTTCTCAATAAAAAATCATGAATATACATACCTCGTTCACCTTTTTGACCTGGTCCACCAGTTAATCCAGGAAGACCATTCAAACCTACACAATAAACGGTGAAATCATAATATAATTCAATATATTAATTATTTACCTGGATTGCCAGATAAACCACGTGGACCGGGAAGACCACCTAAATTAGATAAATTATTTTCAAATTCAATTCATTTATTTATTTAATTATAACTTACGTGTTCCTTGTATACCATTTGTACCACGTTCTCCAGTGACACCTTTTGGACCTGCATTGCCTGGTGGTCCAGAACGTGTTGCAACAGCCATTTCACCAGGTTGACCCTATGATGATAAGAAATATACAAATAATAATCGAATTTAATCTATTAAATTTACTTTAGCTCCGGGAAGACCAGGTAAACCAGCTTGTCCGTTCATACCAGGTAAACCAGGTCTAACAAATAGGAATAAATTCATATATTTAAACACAAGTCAATTTTCTTACCGTCCAGATTGACCAGGTTGTCCATCCAAACCGGCATAACCTACATATAGAATAACTAAATACAATCTGCAAAGATCTTTGCAAGATTACCTTTAACGCCATTTTCTCCTAAAATGAAAATAAAATATATTCTTTATATTTTTTTTTCAATAAATAAAATCAATTTAACTAACCTGCTAAACCTGGCATACCAGGGCGACCATTTTCTCCCTACACGTAAAAAATATGTATGTATTTACTTTGATCATATAATTTAGAGAAATTTTATTCTTACTCGTTGGCCAGGGAAACCATTAGTACCTGGTCGACCATCTACTCCACTTTGTCCGGGAAGACCTATTTAGCATCATATTTTTAATATAAAATTATCAATAAATTCTATAAATTAACTTACCAGGAGCACCAGCATAACTAGAAAAAAAATCATAATTAATACTATTTAGTACACACATATGTCTATATATCGACACTTACCCAGCATCACCAGGCATTCCTCTAAGACCGCGTGAACCAGGTGCAGTCGATTCTAATGCTGCATCGTCACCAGGTAAACCAGGAACACCAGGTCGTCCGGTTTTACCTTGATTACCAGGTTCACCTTGAGGACCACGTGGTCCACGTGAAAGTGCTTGACCGGGAGGTCCAGCTTGACCTATTGGACCTTTAAAAATAAAGAAAATATAATTTATTAATTGTTTATTCCTATATAATCGTCAAATATACCTTTAGGTCCAGGAAGACCTTGTGATCCTGGTCGTCCTAGCTCACCAGATACACCCTATATAGAAAGAAAGCTTATTAGAAAATAGAACATTTATCATGCAAAAATGTACTCGTGGGCCAGGTACACCCGGAGCTCCATCATAACTAAAATATAAATAGATAAAAAAATATAGTATGTCATCTATGTATTAATTAAACTCATACCCATCACGTCCATTTCTACCAGTTTCACCAACATCACCATGATATCCTTTAACTCCTGGTTCACCAGGTGCTCCTCGACGGCCTTTAATACCATCAGCACCAATCATTTCACCAGATTCACCTTTACGGCCTGGAATACCTGGATAACCATCTCGGCCTGGAAGACCCTGAAATATAATTCAAAAAATTGAATGCAATTTATTTTCACAGAATCATCTACTTACATCGGGTCCAGGTAAACCATCAGGACCTGGCATTCCACTTATTCCTGCATCACCTTTTTCACCTAAAAGTACCATAAAATTATATTATCTTCCGAAAAAAAGAGACTAATAAATAATTACCGCGAAAACCTGGTGCACCATTTAACTAGAAATAAACAAAGATTATAGCGACCGTAGAGCAACTATATATATATACTTACACCTGGTCGACCACGATAACCTTGGCTACCACGATCACCTTGAAGACCAGTTACTGCAGATGGACAAAATCCACAACCACCAGGTTCACCTTAAATAATTTTCAATATGTGATTAATATTTTTTATTTTAAATTACTTACCAACGTCACCTTTTGGACCATGAACACCTAAACAACAAAATCATGTTGAATAAAATTTTATTAAAATTTGAAAAATACTCACCAGGAAAGCCAGGTGCACCGGGTGAACCTGATCGACCTGGATATCTATAATAATAATAATTAAAACAATAAATTTAATACTCATTAGTAATAACAAAGTAATCACCCTTGTGGGCCAGGTGGGCCATATCCTAAATTTACAATATATATATATAAACCACAAATAAAATGAATTTATAATTCTTACCTTGATAACCTTGGTAGCCTCCACTAGTTGAAATGCCTGATATACAAAGTATATATATATATATATTAAATATAAATCGATTGAAACAATTATTTACCTGGTGGACCGGGTTCACCGATATCACCTGATGGACCGGGTATACCAGGATCTAAAGAAATAGATTATTTATTTGTTTGTTTGTTTTTCTAAAAAAAGAAAAGTTGTATTTACGTCCAGGACGGCCGGGTTGACCATTGGTTCCGCGTGGTCCTAAAATAAATGTATAAATTTTTTTCAGATCAAAAAAGATAAGACGATATATACCATATGTTTCATCACCAATTAATCCTTTTTCACCAATATCACCTTTTCCTCCGGGCATACCTAATACAATACATTAGATGTTTACATATCAAATGTAAAAGAAATATAATATTACCAGCTGGACCGGGTAGACCAGTAGGACCAGGTGGACCTGAATAAAGATGAAAAATAGATAATAATATTTTCATAAAAGAAAAAACAAGAAAAAAAACTTACCATCAGCACCTCGATCACCCTTTTCAGCATCGGCAGTTTCTCCCATAGGGCCAGGTCGACCGGGTGAACCATAATCACCTTGTTCACCTTTAATACCTTCTCGACCTAAAAATAAAATGATATAATATTATTTCTTGAATTTTGCTTCGATCATTTACCAGGAAAGCCAGGTGCTCCTGCGAAACCACTTGGTCCAGCATCACCTGTCATACCCTACAATGAAAAGTTACAATTTGAAAAATATGAAAATATAAAATATATACCGGATAACCAGGTGCTCCAGATCTATATGTACCACGTTTACCACCTCTGGTCTATAGAAAAAATAACATAATAATAAATAAACGAAAATAAAGAATCATTTTTCATTTCTTACATTTGGACCAGGTTCACCGTGATCACCACGCATACCTTTTGTACCTGGATAACCATTTCGACCAGGTTCTTTAAAAAAAATAAAAATAAAATAATATAATTCTACAATATCAACTAATAAACTTACCTCCAGGAAGACCATCATTACCAGGTGGACCGGGTGGTCCTAAAATAAAAGAAATTAATCTCAACATGAATAAAATAAATAATAACAAACCTGATGTTCCTTTAACACCAAAATCACCAGCTGGACCTTCTCGACCCATTTTTCCCTTTTTTTTTAAATAGAAATAATTATAATAGACATTTCTAATATTTATTTACTTGTGGACCAGCATAACCGCCTTCACCTTTTTCACCTTTAGGTCCTTGTAAACCATCAATACCCTTTAGAAAAAAGAGATTCATATGTCTTAATTAGAAACCAAGCAATAAATCAACCTACCAAATAACCTGATTGACCACGGTCTCCTCTATAACCGCGATCACCATCTGGACCACGTTCACCAGGTGGTCCTTGTACATTGGTAAGACCTTTAAATTTAAAACATCTTTTATTTTACATTCAATGAAATAAAATAAGCTAATCCTTGATAGAAGAAAAAAAAGATAATCCAAGCTGATAATAAATGATGTTCACAAAAAAAAAATTGTCGGTTATATCTGAGTCGACTGCTCATTAGGTATCGCTATAAACTTATATGTATAAAAAAAATTATATAAGATAATGACGATGGTAATAATAGTAAGCAAATAACATGCGAACGTTCTCTTTTTTTATATAATTTCTAAAAAAATGATACGTTCGCGCCCACCCCTCTTGGCTGAATTAGATATCTTAGGAAAAGCGTAGACGGGTCAAGCTATATTATTGACTTATACTTACAGGGTCTATTTCCACAATTTTGATCTATTAAAGCCAAGTACGGATATCATAGCAATGAACAGGCAAAGAAAAACAAACAAAAACTTTCGCTCAAATCTGGTCTGAGTCCCCGGTTAGCTCTTAGTTTTCTTTTCACTTCGATTTATATAACGACTATAGAACAAAACATACCTCGTAAACGGCCGTATGAAGGTTGACCTGGTGTTGTTGGAGCAGCATCACCTAAATAATAACAAATTATTATATAAAATCTTTTTTTTTCTTGAAATTTATTTTTCGTAAATACCTGGTTCACCACGTGCACCTGAAAATAAAATAAAAATTAATCTTAATTACTTTTAAAATTTTACTATCTACCTTTGAGACCATAACTGTCTTGACCACGTGCTCCTTGGAATCCTGGATCACCACGACCGCCAGGTCGACCCTAAATTTTAAAAAAAGTGAAGTTATATATAAAATTTTCAATAAAAAATTTGAAAACTTACATCTGGTCCTGGCATTCCTACTGGTCCTGGTAAACCTGGGGCACCGGGGGAGCCAGGCCAACCCTATCAATATATAGATATATGTATAGATATATTTTTGGCAGAAAAAATCTTTTTTTTTCAAGTTCTACTTACGGCAACACCTGGACGACCGGGAATACCTGGATCACCACGAGGTCCTGGGACAACACCGTTAAAACCTGATGCATCACCAGGTTCACCCTAATTAAATTTATTAATTAGTTCAATCACTTGAACAAATCAAAAAGAAAATTTCTTACTTGTTCACCATTGCGACCAGGTAAACCAGGATTGCCTGGCATGCCATCCAATCCATTGCGGCCATTTTCACCAGATTCACCCTAGCATTAAAAAAAAGATCCATTACGTGATGTTTTTTTGCTTTATCTATTCTCTTAGGATCAATTGGTAATTAATATTATCAATATATCATTTTCTGATTTATGCTTATCTATTTTTCTTTTAATGAAACTATGCAAGTTTTGTCTGTCACAAAAAAACAACTTAACAGTTTCCTGTCAATATACACGTACATAATCTATGAGTCTAAGTTATCAATCTTTATTTTAGATGACAATTGGACCTTGATCTCGAAGAAAACATTGTTGATATGATCTAAAGCTGTAGTAGATAGATTTAGCATCCGCCTTCTTAATGCTATCAATTACAGTCAACAGACACTGACAATGATAGATCGTTGTATTCAAGATGGTAATTAGATATTGTTATTTTGCACTGTAAGACCTCCATACAATCCTTTTTTAACTTTTGCTTTTTTTATTGCATATGGTTCGTTTACCAGAAGTATTATTAATAAAAAGCATTTAGTACATAGGCTATTTACAAAATCTATATGTGCCATTTTCTTATAAATTAGAAGCCAAAGAGTTTTAGCATCTGTCGTTTATATCCACATTATTCTTCTAATAACAGTCTAATCATGCATATGTATGTATTTGTGCATGAATAATCCACTAAACCTCAATAGACCACCAAGGTCGATATATATATATATATATACACATATATACGTAAAGAGAAAAAAATAATAGCAATTTGTTTATATAATCATCGTTCTCTTCTGCTTATTCATCAATCCATATGGAGAAAAATATCCAAGGTCGTATGTATAAAGACTAAGTCAGATAATTAGGATGTCTGGAACTTAGTATGAAATATGTGACAAACAAAATACATATATATGCGGTTTTCCATTATCTCAACATAAAATAATTCTTATCAAGGCTGTCGAATTGCTTCTTTTTTGTTATTTGTCTATATAGGGAAAAATAAGGAAAAACAGCCGTCGTTCTTCAATATTTTCCTGATGTGTTGATAACTCTTATGCTATAGCGCGTCCTTGGTTTATGTACGATTGGCGCTTATCTCATCAAGACGATAAAGAAGAAGGAAAGGAAAGGAAATGCACTAATATATCGTTGTGTACACGATAAAATATGTATACAGAGACGCCCGATCGATTCGATGTGTTAATGTTTTTTTCTTTTTACCTTGCTGCCATTGCATCCTGGTACACCGGAAATACCGCGTGGACCAACAGAACCAGCTTGACCAGGAAAACCATTTTGACCATCAATAGGCAATAATCCATCTTCACCCTAAATAAAATAAAAATAATAAAATAATGAAAAAAAAATGAATAAATAAATATATACTCGTTCTCCTTTGCTGCCATATTGACCACGATCACCTTTTTCACCACCAAGACCCAAATTACCTACTCGTCCTCCGGGACCTTTAAGACCACGATCGCCTGGAATGCCAGGAAAACCTTGTGGGCCTAAAAAAAACAAAAAAAAAAATAGATGAATTTTTTTTTTATAAAATTAATTTATGTAAAAGAAAACATACCAGTGGTACCCATAGCACCTTTGCCAGGACATTGACAATCACGTCGTGGTCCACAACCTTTACATTCTGAGCCTTGAACATATGTATCACCAAATTCATTTGATGGTGATTGATCTGATGGTGGTTGAGGATATTGATTGTATTGTCTTTTTACTCGTTTTTCCGATGTATCATTATCATTCTTAGCCTTTAATTTTTATTAATAAAAATAAAATAAAAAGAACGTAATCAAACAAAACGAATTCCTACTGTTCTAGCTTGAATTTGAATAAAAATTGATAAAATTAATATAAGTCCGATAGTAATCGGCCTCATTGAAGAAGCCATCGCACACTTGCGAACAAAAACACAGCAACCAAATACTTAATAGATAGTCTATCTAAAAAGCTAAAAAAACAAATTTATTTAAATTGTTTTGTCTCACCATACCAATGATACAAAATAAAATTCTATCTTACTAAAATTTGTTTTTGACACGTTTATTGAATAAACAAACGTGTTCAGTTCTGTTAGTTAACTAAAACACACTACTAGTAATAAAGAACAGTAGCCCGCCTGAAAAAGCAAGTTCGAGTTTACCAACATGTATTTTTTTCTTTTTCCCCTCTCTTCCTCGTTTTTTATGCTATTTTTTTCTGGCGTTTTTTTTTGGAGAGACGACGACGACAACAACAGTTAGGGTAACAGGAAAAGTCGACGATAATAAACACGGTAGCAAATTATGCGGGGCGAATGTCTGTATGTGAGAGAAAAAAAATGTCTTATGTATATGCCGTATTATGAATGTTATCAGTCTTAGTAATATCCAGAAACAGCAGAATTAGTAATACACAGACAATATTCATCTCTCATCAGCAGGAATAGAACAAAAACCGCGTTCTTCTGGTTGGTGGATTTGAGTGTCATCTCTCTTTTCTCGTCTCTCTGTCTCTCTCTCCCTCTCTCTCTCTCTATGATTGTGGTAAATCGGATGATATTATTGTACCAAAGAAAAAATAGTCCAGTTTCTGTGACGAGTGGCATTTTTTTTCTGCGCTTCTTCGCGTTCGGTCTCTATTATCCTATTGTAGACCATACGACGACGACAGGACACAACTTGTTTAATTGTCCGTCGCCGCCACCGCAAGATCGCGTGTGATTCTAGGCAACTAATTTCAATATGCAATTCCTTACTAAAACTTCAAATTCGTCCCTTCGTCGGACTACACGGTAAGCTATTGAATTATGTTTTTTTTACATGAAAAAAAAAAATGTGCAACAAGTAGTGTCTATACTTCTCTAAATGTAAAGTCTGTTATATTCATGAAAATATTGACTACTAGTTTTTTTTCTTATTCAGAGATTATTCGTAATCGTTTTTTTATCTGTAGTTATTTTTTATATCAGTTATTAAAATGAGATACAATACTAGAGTTATCAATGAGCATTATTATCATATTTTCTGCTCATAAAAATATGTAAAAACATCTTCTATCAACATTCTGACTTTTACGCTACATGACATTATTAATAACACCTACAGAGAATATGAACATAATAACAAATCAATTGTTATAGATACTAATGTATTAATATATTTTTTTTTCTTTGTACGACAGATAAAAAAAACATCAAGGTACAAATAGTTAGTTTTTGCTTTTTTATATTGGCCAGAATTGAAAAAAAGCATAATGAGATATCACGAGAAGGACATAGAACTTTTATCAGACAAGCTAATAATAGCAATAACAACAACATCAGCAGCAGCAGCAGCAGTAGCAGCAGCAGAATAGAAGATTTTGTCGCGCGTCTGCATGAATAACTCGTCGCTATTCCTAATTATGCATCGTATTCTTTATCACTAGTTAAATTTCTTTTTCTCCTTGCTGATATTGTTGTTGTTGTTGTTGATGGTACTCGGTAACATCGTTTCTCTATATGTCCTCGGCAGTTTTCCCTCCTTTGCTTTTTACTAATAGATTATTGAGATCACATAATAATTCTTCGTCTTATCTTTTTCTATTCCTTCTCTACTTTCGTCTGTCTTCGTTGGCTCTTCATATCATTCTACCGACGTCTTGTACATCCATACTAGTTCTTCTTCTTCTTCTCCTTTCCTGTACATGATTCGAGAATTATTAATTATCGCACCACAATGGTAACCAGCAGTAGTTCTAAGGTCGTTTTTTACTCGTCGTCGATGATGATAGAATCATAAGATAGCAATATAACAGAAGGACTTTATCACTGCGATTACAAACAGTAAACAAATTGTACAGCAGACGATAGTTATAGAAATATATAGAAAATATAGAGAGTACAAGTTCCTGTTTTTCTTATCGATTATTCCTAAAAACCACATGCAAGATGTTTGCTACAATAAACATCAGTACAAAATTATTTTGTATGCATCGATTTAAGTAAGTTATATTTGATCATTGTTCACTGAATAGTATTCATCCATATGTATATATGTATATATATATATCATTTTGTATGTTTGCTTACTAGTCATCATTAAGATGAAAATTAGCAAATGATAACTTATGTTACCTTGAAAACACACATACATAAACATCAATCTTTTTTTTCTGGCTCCTACAGAGATCCACTACATAGAAGAGAAAAACATTCACCATATGTGACAAATTATTTAAAATATATAATTAAGAAAAATATTTTTCTTTTATTTATTTAGACTTAATTATGCTTCCATTTTAATCGTACTTCTTATCAGCATCTTCATTGAAACAAGCAATGCTCAACAAAGGGTATGTTCACTAATTCACATTACTTCATGATGCAATCATTTGAGATGAATAATAATAATAGGTAATAGTAATAAGCTACTATTGTACATAAACAAATCAAATATGAGTACAAAATACATATGTGAATTGATTGCATAGAGATTGAATGACTTGTCTATTGATAGTAATTATTTTGTTATTTTTTTGTATTATTGAGCAAATGCCGTAAGACAATAAAGATCAATATCAGCTCAATAAATATATATGTACATATGCATATAATATGATTAATTTGTTTTTTAGTACCCAGATTCTGGTCCAGTAACACCACCACCAGGTTATGCATTTGCACCTGGTTATGGATCATCTCAATATCAACCAAAAAATCGAACGAGCAATAGTGCTGATTGTAACAATTGTAATCAACCATGTTTTTGTATAGCACAAAAAGGAGACCAGGTAAATTAATCAATATATATATATATATATATTAGAAAAGACTAACATTTTTGTAATAAATATATAGGGTCCAGCTGGTCCAATGGGCCCTGCTGGTGCTCGTGGAGTGAATGGTGTTCCCGGTCCCGAAGGTATGTTATACATATATATATATACATATAGTTAAATGTGATTAAAAATTTTATTTTTATAGGACCTGAGGGTATGAAAGGTGAAAAAGGTGATCGGGGTTTACCCGGTTTACCAGGCCAAAAAGGTGACAGAGTAAGTTATTATTATTAAAATATTAATTTATAATTATATTATTCTAATAAATAGGGACGATCCGGTGAACCAGGCATGCCCGGTATGAATAAAATTATTAATTATTATTTTGAATATTATACAAAATATCTTTTGTTTAGGTCATCCCGGTTTACCCGGTCTTCCAGGCCCAAGAGTAAGTCTATATTAATATCATATGTATATATAATTATTTTTTTTTCTTTTATTTTAGGGACCAGAAGGTAATTGATCAGTATATTCAATAGAGAAGATAGAATGATCATTTTATTTTTTCAGGTTTACCTGGTCGTGATGGATGTAACGGATCAAGAGTAAATATAATCAAATTTGAATAATAAAGTTTCTATTTTTTTCATTGTCTATAGGGTGATGCTGGTCGACCTGGATTTAGCGGACAGGTAACATATATAAATAACTTATAATTTGAAAGTATATTTAATTTGATTGCTTATTTAGCCCGGTCGTCCTGGTGAACCTGGTGTGTATATGAATAAAATGGATTGAATTATATTTTTTTATTTTCTTCATACTTTAGGTATTCCTGGTCAACGAGGTCCCAAAGGTGACCCTGCTCAAGCTTTACCCGGATTCAAAGGCGAAACTGTATGAATATTAAAAAAAAAAATCTATATTTTTCTATCTATATAAACATATTTTTATATAAATTTTAGGGACCTCCAGGAGCTCCCGGTCTTCCTGGTGCTGCAGTAAGTTTTTTTTACGAATTTTTATTGCTTAGAGATTAATACTGTTTATTTCCATAGGGTACTCCAGGTAATGGTGGTATTCCCGGAAATGCTGGTGGTGTTGGTTTTCCTGGACGTGAAGTAAATAATGAAATAATGATTTTCTTAGTAGTACTATATGAATAATATTTGTAGGGTGCTAAAGGTGATCGTGGTGAACCTGGTGCTGCAGGTACGGAGAAATACATATTTAATTGAAACAATATTTTTTATCAACTGATATTTAGGTATTCCTGGAACTGGATTTAATGGTGAACGAGGTCAAAAAGGAGAACCCGTAAATACAAATATTATCATAAATAGTTGTATTCTTACAATTTTATTTTTTAGGGATCATCTGCTCCCTATCCATCCATAGGTCATGTAGAAGCAACAGGCAACTTTACTGTTGTTCCAGTACCAACTCCTGGTGCTCGCGGTGAAAAGGTACGTGTGTTTTTTTGCATTAAGATAAAATTATAATTTGTTTCTAATTAATTATTATTATTAATAGGGTGCAATGGGTCATAAAGGAGAACCTGGTGAAATTGGTTATCCTGGTGCTCCAGGTTCAGCTGGACCAGCAGGTATGACCGGTGAAAAGGGTGTACCAGGCCCCGTTGGACCACGTGTAAGTATTTTTATTAATGAATTTTTTTTCTTCTCATATTATTTCTCTTCGAATAGGGTCCTACTGGTTTACCAGGTCAAGCTGGTTTTCCTGGACAAGCAGGGTAAGTTTATTCTAGTTTTATTTAATTAAATATACTTGATTTTATATATTTATTTCAGTGATCGTGGTAGCCCAGGTTATCCTGGTTCATCTGTATGTGTTATCAAAGATTGGAGAAAAACGTATCAATTATTTTTTTTCTTTCAATGTATTTTTAGGGTACCCCCGGAAGACCTGGTAACAATGGATTATCAGGAGATAAAGGTTTGTATAATTCATTTCTTTGTAAAGATAAAATAATTATTAATATCATATTTTAGGTGATCGTGGTTTCCCCGGTATGCCTGGCATGTGTATACCTGTAAGTAGAAATATTTTTATTTTTAACACAAGATTTTTTTTATTTAATAATTTATTCTTTGATAGGATGGACCCGATAGTGGAATGGCAGGACAA